ATATTATAATAATAATACTTTAAATTATTTTTATTATTATAGTGGGGGTAAAATAGTCAAATACTGTTGATTGACTCTGAAGCTGAAAAGACCACGGGTCGAAAAAATAAAGGGCCGAGGCACCGAACTTATGGAGCGTTTGGCCATATACATAAAAAGTCATCATTCAGTGGGATCGATTCACACTAACTCCCAAACTATTAAACACGCCAAGACTGACACTTTCCAAGTCTTCCATCCATTAAACCCAACTCTCCTCTCTCTCATCCTCTCCAAAATCTAGGGTTTCTTGAATTTTTTTTTTTTTCTCCGAACGAATCTACTGGATTGACCCGCCAAGATCGTTCCTGCCGCCGTCGGCTCGTCCTCGACGACCAAGTCTCTTGTATGGAGGTAGAGTGAATTTTCCCTTTTCTTTTCTTGGCTTGTATTGTATGTGTTCTGTCGCCGTAAGGAAATTGATGATAATGCATTTAAGTATGGGGAAAAGAAATAGCTTTATAGATTCTCGATTTCTCTTTTGTTTTGTTTTGAAAGGGGTTGCGGTTGATTATTGAAAAGATGAAATTTTTTTTTACTTGTTTGGTCAAATTGAGCTGATTTTATGTGTCTGATCAGTGTAATAATGTCTCAATTTAGGTATTAGTGTGATGATAGATGGATTGATGTGCCATGCCTTTATCTTAGCCATTGTTTTATCTATTTTATTGGGTCTAAATCGGTCCTGTTTTGCACTTAGGCTTTGCTTTAGCTACATCCTTTTCATTTTAATTGTGGATGAGAGTGTGAATAATTGGTTTTTTGGATTTGCAGGGGATGGAAGAGACCAACAAGTCTGAAGACCATTTGACCTCGGCTGCAGCTTTTGTGGAAGGTGGAATTCAGGAAGCCTGTGATGATGCTTGCAGCATATGTCTTGAAGTGTTTTGTGAAAGTGATCCTTCAACGGTTTGTAACTGCTAGACCTTCTCTTTATTCATGTGATCTGAAAATCTGAATAGCATCTCTTTGAAACTCTTTTGTTTATCCCTTTGCAGGTCACGGGCTGCAAGCACGAGTTCCATCTTCAATGCATTCTTGAATGGTAAATTTATCATTTCCGAAGGATGCAAGTTAGATGCGTTTTTCATCTTCATTGCATTCTTTACATAGTTTGGTTTATAGCTTTATATTGGGGTTCAGTTAGCCTGTAGACACCTTTTCATGAGTTAAACATTTTTTTTTCTTAAGAAAATTTTATATATATATATATATATTTTTTTTTAGTTAGGCTAGATGTTTCTTTTGATTTTTTTCTCCCATGTGGATATTTAGGTGAGTTCAACTTGTCAAGACAGGAAGAAGCAAAAGATAAGATCTTTTATCTTAGTTTCTGTTTTGTTATTCTGAATTTGCAGGTGCCAAAGGAGCTCTCAATGCCCAATGTGCTGCCAACCTATCAGCCTGAAAGACCCAACCAGGTTTGTATGCCTACTTGGCCTTTGCCTCCCCCTTGTAATTAGCCGTGTTACTAGGTTCTCCTTTGAGCTGATTTTTTGAACCAGTTAATTATTTCTCTTGCTTTGGCAGCCAGGAGTTGCTTCAGGCTGTTGAAAGGGAGAGGAGTATCAGGTTTAATCCATCAAGAAATTCAACCATATTTCGTCACCCAACTCTGGGGGATTTTGAATTACAACATGTTTGTATTTCTCATCTTCTAGTTTGACAATAAATACTTCTTCATTCATTTTCAACGTCATTGTAAGATTAGGGTCATATTCATTTGTTTGTCTCCAACACAGTTGCCACTGGGTGCAAATGATCATGAACTTGAGGAGCGGATAATTCAACACTTAGCTGCTGCTGCCGCAATGGGGCGTGCCCGTCATATTGCCAGAAGGGAAAGCCAGAGGACTAGGTCATCAGGCCAAGGACGTCCACAGTTCTTAGTATTTTCAACTCATTCAAATGCACCTTCTACTGGTCCAGGACCTTCATCTCCAACTAGAGGGGAAGGTGCACCAGCCCCTGCAATCATAATTGGTACTCCACCTTCCCCTCCAACAACTGTTGGAGAAGAATCTTCTGAGCTGATGACACAGATGCCTTCTGTCCAAGCTAATCGGATATCTGCTTCAGCATCTGGCTCAAGTACTCCTTCAGCCAACCAACATGGACATTCCTTGAACAATATGTATTTACTATTCTTTAACTTGACTTCAAGTTTTTATATGTCTTGCATCTTCACTTTATTTAGATTGTGATGACATCTCATTGTATTACTGCAGGAGGTCTCCAAATCGGTCATCTCCAAGTAGTCAAGATAGAGCTGGACCATCAGATTTCCAGTCATTTTCAGAATCCCTGAAATCTAGATTTAATGCTGTTTCAACGAGGTATCGATGATATGGCAACTTTTTGGATAATTTGAACTAGTGCAATGAGCTGCTAGTCCCTTTCATATATGTTTTGTTTTATGATCTGATACTAACCTCTCTACTGGTATGCCCTTTAGATACAAAGAGTCAATTTCAAGGAGTACAAGGGGATGGAAGGAAAGATTTTTTTCTCGCAATACTTCAATGTCAGATCTTGGTTCTGAGGTAAGAAGAGAGGTTAATCACGGAATTGCAACAATGTCACGCATGATGGAGCGTCTAGAGACCAGAGATAACACACCTACCGCTGCTTCTGTAGAGACCAGAGATAACACACCTACCGCTGCTTCTGTAGAGACCAGAGATAACACACCTACTGCTGCTTCTGTAGAGACCAGAGATAACACACCCGCCACTGCTTCTGTATCAAACAGTTCAGAAGGTTGTTCTGTTTCAGATTCAAATAACCAGAGAATGTCAGATGGTAGTGGAGACAATCCTGTCTGTGGCACCAATATCCAAGCTTCATGTGCTGCAAGTTCTGGTTCAAATTAATATTTATTTCAGCAACTTCATCAACATAAAGCATTTTATCTTCAAAAGTAAGGTTCTTGTTGGGTTGAATTGACTCTATTTCGGTCAATTTGGATAATTGCATATCTAATGCCTCAAAAACTATTTATTACATGAGCCTGAGGGTTCTATTTTCCAAATGATTAGCTTTACCATATTAATCTTAACCATCTTAGTAAATTAGTCGCACCAAAAAAGAAAAAAAAAAGAGAGCTTTACAATTAATTATTAGCAAGTGGATGCTGTCGAAGGTTGATGTTCTTAGCTCTTTGCTTTCTATAAGCCCTTTCATGTTTCCTTGACTGCCGTTACATATTTTGTACGTAGTAAGATGTACATACCATTTCATCATCACGAATGAGGTCCCTCTCTGATATTTGGATGGAATTTTCCTTTTTGCAGATCTTGTTATCTTGTTGAAGGATATGTTTTGCTGCCCTCCTCATGCACTGGGTATCTTTTAACATTGCAAATAGCAGACCATGGTTGAGATTGATTTGGAATAAAGAAGCTAGAACTAGGAGGCTTCTCCACTTGGACATAGGAACCAGTAGATGATTGTAAATCAGTTTATATATGAGCCCTGTGTCATAGGTGCTCGGATATTGAAGATCTTGAAGTCTACATGCACACTTTTGAACGAATTCTTCTTTATAAACTCTTTCATGAGGATAATACACTTAATTTTTATCCTGTCGTGATAACTGGATAGTTGGATGAAGTATGTCTGCTTAGCCTTGCATCTTTTCGACTTTTGTTTATGACTACCAGAATAAGGTGTGCTGATTCGACACGGTATGTTGCAGCTAAGTTCATTTCCAGTCATCAAATCCTTTAAACTTGATCTTTTCCATGTTTTCCTTTCTTAGTTTCGTTCTATGATGGGCACTTAGAGCGTTCTGGTTAAATGATCCTAATCTCATATCCATATCCCCTCTTGTGAACAAAACATTTTCAGGACATACTTTCCAAAGTGTGTGCCGTTGCTTGTTGGCTTTCTAAAGAATCAGTGTAGCACGGTTGTCCCCTTTTTGTCCATGTTATTATTTGATTCAAAATCACCTTTTCCAAAGCAAAAAGATTCTTAAATGTGTTCCCCCAATAAGCCACTACTAGCTGCCTCTGTGGGTTGTTGGATGGTATTCTGATTAGGAACCTTTTTATTTTTTTAATGTTAATATTTGATAGTTATTTTAAAAAATATTATACATTTATATGATTATTAAAATATATAAAATAGTAATTAACTATATAATAAAATTAATATTTTTAATAGAAAAAAATATATATCAGTTGTATATGTAAAAATTAAGTAAAAAAATATTTTAAAATTATATTATTTTAATAAATTTACATTAAAAAAACTAAAACATCTTAATTTTCAAAATAAAAATAAGTCTATTGTAGTCTTTATTTTATTTAAAAAAACAAAATTTTAAGTATTTTTATTTAATTTTTTTATAAATTTAATTGATAAATATTAGTACCATTTTTAATAATGTATGCCGAAAAAACATTGTGGGAAAATAATATTAAATATAGCAAAAATAACCTTGCAAAAACAATGATTAAAGTATATTTTTCATCCTCTTCTTTGAGCAAATGGGCAATTTTATCCCACTACATATAATGGTGTCAGTGGAGGGGCAAAAAAATTCACATTTTTTAAAATAGAGGGATAAAATTCCCTCTTTTTTAAAGTAGAGAAATATATAAAAAAAAAATGCACTTAATTCTTTTATTTTTAAAAGCATGACAACCATGTCATTACCGGTGTTAGAAAAATGATGAAAAATACTATTTTAAAAAGTTTAAAGAAAGAAAGATGAAAGTGCTCATTTTTCAAAGGTTGTTTAACTTATATTTTAAGAATATTGATTAAATTATATTAATTATAAATTTTATAATTAATTTTATATAAATTATTATATCAAATTTATATTTTTTTATAAATTTTGAATATAAATATTATATTATATTTTTATTTTACATTTCATATTTATTTTAATTAAATCTTATATAAATACTTACATAAAATTAATTATAAATATTATATTTAATAAAATTTAACATGCAAACTTAAAAAATCTTTTTTAAAAAAAGTAAAAGAATAAAACGTCCCCAACCCTACCATCTGTAACTTTGAAAGCAAAACAAAAGGAAAGTCACCACCTCCCACCTTTATTTATAGAATTAACTTTGAAACACGAATTTGATTATTAGATCTTGCAACTCCATTCCAATCTCTATAAATATATATATATATACATATAATTGAGAGAAAAAAAAAAGAGGAAGTTGCACCGACAAAATTATGAATATAATAAATATTATGAACCATGAGGCAGAAACAGACATTAATATCTTGGAAGTACCTAACATTTATATTTATTTTCTACCTAATTCAATTTTATCATATTAAAATGTCAAACACGATCTAAATCTGTGTCCTAGCGCCGGAGACAGAAACACTTCGACCGAATCCCCAAAGCCAAGTTGGACACTTGGACTTCAATTTTATCATATTAAAAAGCCAAACACGGTTCTAAATCTGTGTCCTAGCGCCGGACACAGAAACACTCCGACCGAATCCCCAATGCCAAGTTGGACTCCGAATTGGAACACTCTTCTCTTCTGTCTGTCCAGCCGTCCAGGTGAGGTGCGGTGCGGTGCGGTGCGGTCACAGCTCACATTTACAGTTCACTCCTGGACCCCGTTCCAGCCTGTCCGAACTTTTCTCCGCTCCCCTGCTTCGGTTCTCACACTCTTTACGTGTCGCATTTATCAGATGCATGCCACGTGTACAGTTCCACTTTTCCCATCTGAACCGACACCCTTTCTCACTCTTTCCTCCTCTCCCATTTACAGTGCCCAAACTGCACTTATTTCAAGGCGAAGACACTTCGGTGTCCGAACAAGACAACATGTCAACGACAAAGCAAAGCTAAACCCTTCATCTCTCTCCTCCTGTTCGTCCTCACTTGTCCTACAATTCGCATCTTCTCTGTGGCCATGGATTTTCCCGTCCATCCCACCTTCAAAAAAGTCTTCTTTTTTCTGTTTGTGTTCCTTTTTTTAGCTGGAATTTCCTTTGCATTGTCGGAGAGCTCCAAGCTCTCTGCAAATTCGGGCCAAATTAACTCCAATTCCGTCCTTGTAGCTCTCCTCGACTCACATTACACCGAGCTCGCTGAGCTAGTTGAAAAGGCTCTGCTTTTGCAGACGCTGGAGCAAGCTGTGGGGACCCATAATGTCACCATTTTCGCGCCAAGAAATGAGGCCCTGGAGCGTGATCTCGACCCTGAGTTCAAGCGATTCTTGCTCGAGCCGGGAAATGTAAAGTCGCTGCAGAAGCTGATTCTTTTTCACGTTATTTCGACCCGGGTCGGATCCCATGAGTGGCCGGATCCGGAATCTGCGGTAACCCCCCACCGGACCCTCTCCGCTGATTATCTCCACTTATCGAACGACCAATCGGGGGAAAAAATTGTTGATCGTGTCAAAGTAGTCCATCCAGATTCTATAATCCGACCTGACGGTGTCATACACGGAATCGAGCGGCTTCTAATCCCGCAGTCCGTACAGGATGACTTCAACCGCCGCCGAAGCTTACGCTCTATAGCGGCGGTGAAACCGGAAGGAGCTCCGGAGGTCGACCCGAGAACAAAAAAGGCCAAGAAACCGGGGTTATCCCCGTTGGAGAAACCGGGGTTATCCCCGTTGGAGAAACCGGGGTCCCCGCCTGCTCTTCCCATCTTCGAAGCAATGGCGCCTGGCCCTGTATTGGCACCGGCTTCCGCCCCAGCACCGGGCGGGCCAAACCACCACTTTGACGGGGAGACCCAAGTGAAGGACTTCATCCAAACTTTGTTACACTACGGTGGATACAATGAATTGGCTGACATTTTAGTTAATTTGACGTCCCTTGCAACGGAGATGGGGAGGTTGGTTTCGGAGGGATATGTGCTGACGATTTTGGCGCCAAACGACGAGGCCATGGGGAAGTTAACAGCGGAGCAACTTAGCGAGGCAGGGGCGCCGGAGCAGATAATGTACTACCACATGGTACCGGAATACCAGACAGAAGAGAGCATGTACAATGCTGTGAGGAGGTTTGGGAAGGTGAGGTACGAGACACTGAGGGTGCCACACAAGCTGGTGGCAGAGGAGGCTGATGGGTCTGTTAGGTTTGGGAGTGGAGAGGGGGCGGCCTATTTGTTTGACCCGGATATTTATACAGATGGAAGGATCTCAGTGCAGGGGATTGATGGGGTTTTGTTTCCAGCTGAGGAGGAAAAGACTGTGAAAAAGGAAGTTAAGGTTGCAAAGATTGCAGCTTCCAAGCCTAGGAGAGGTATGTTTTATTTATTGCATATTTACAATTTGGTATTCAACTTTTTCCTGCAATGTCAAATTGTTGTGTGTTTTGCCATCTGCTGCCTTTCATTTGAAGCAACTCATGGTAGGCTGATGGGAAAGTTATGTACGCAACATAGAGAACAATTGAACTGCATGTAGTTCTGCTAAATCATGTTTTAGGGGCGTCCATGGTTGACAATTTTAATCAGAATCAATCGGTTTAGGATAACAAAAATTTGTTGAATTATCAGCCAAAGGTTGTCGTTTCAGTTAGGTCTCTAGAATGTGAATATTTATGGAGTGTAACATACCAAAGTTGAGGTATAGAGAGGCACCAAACGTCTAAGCGAAATGGGCCTAGTTAGCTTAAGGGCACGGTAGGGAATATTCTTGTTCTTGTCATGATGGATATTTGTTTGACATGAACTTTCTTGGAAAATTACCTTAGGACCTGAATTGGTAATGTCTTCTGGCTGATCTTTGATGCAATATCTTGGAAATTTTTGGATTGTGTTGATCTACATTCGATGTTTAGAACTCTAGAGATGCATCAGTTCAAGCTCTCTTTTCTTTTCTTTATGCTTTGTCTGCAATTCTGAATGAGTTCATGGAAAGGAACAAGTTGCCAAAAAATGCAGACATTATTGACTAACATTAATCCAGCTGTTGGTGAAAAGAATGCTTTATCTTGCATTATCTTCACTGTTTCCTTTCACCGTCATTGACTACCATATGGCACGACTTATCACCCTATGTAAATGTGAACTACCTAAAGAAAATTGAACATCTATGCATAATGGTAACAACCACCACAATGATTCAGGAAAACCTAGTTGTATGAAGATTGAAAAGCATATTATTCAGCACAACAAAGTAGTAACTTTCATTTTCATTTTTAAAAGTATCCTTTTGTGACTGCCTACTAAAAATATGTTTATGAGCAGGAAAATTATTGGAAGTAGCTTGGAGAATGCTATGGTCCTTTGGAGACACTTCTCGATTCACCATTCGCCATTGAGTTTTTTTATTCAATGGCTCACAGGCTGATCAAAGGAGAGCAAGGTTCCATTCCCACTTCCTCTTCTCTGGTATTATTGTTATTATTATTGTTATTATTATTGTTATTATTTCATGTCTTTGATGAGCCATTTTGAACTAATCACAAGCCAGGTGTCCGGGGACATTAGGTTGTGGCTTATGCTGTTACATCCCATGCTGCATATATAATGCAATCAAAATATAAATAAATCCAATTTGCCATAAAAAATCAAAAGAAAATCTGATAGTGGTGAAGACAACCTCTGAACAGATATGATGATTCATTGATGCAGATTACACAGAGAAAGAGTTGCTGAAAAAGATGTCACAAAATTGGAAGGCAGCCTTACGATATTGGGGTGACCAACTTTGCTTTTCCTTCAATATTCTTGTATTTTGGTATGCTCTTTTGGGTTGGCTGGTGCAGAAGAAAAGGAGTGATCTCTGGTACATAGAAGTGATTTTGTATTTACTTTTGAAAATTTTGTTTAGGTTGTGAACATTGTGGTGTTGAGAATTTGAATATCGTGGAACATGATTTGGACGGCATACATATGCACGTTGTAAGATAGCCGTACAATAAATAAGGAAGCAAAACCAACCACGTGTTAATCTGAGTATAAATAATTCAGTTTTTCTTAAGTAAAATTTCAAATTCGAGTTTTTTTTACAGAAAAACAAGTGCTTGGAGAGTTTTTTTCTATGGGGTTCATTCTGATT